TTTTTTGGATTTATTGTAGTGAGCACATACTAAATACGAGTAAACAATCACTTATTCACTATAAATTGTCAATTAAATTATTGAGATTTGCAAAGCGTTTTATATGAAATATGCGTAGGAATAACTACATCAACTAGTTTTTGTGAAGAACAAAAAAGTTTGCAAACGTACCATTATTAACTCGAAGTAGAAATAAAGCACCGGTATGAAGTACTAAACGATGTGAATTCTTTTCTTCATTATTTGTAATCACCGGTTCACCATCCTTGAACCATGTAATTTGTAGGTCCGGACCTTTCGCTGCACAATTCAGTGTCGCCGGTTCACCTTTTGCAACAATTACATCAAGTGGATGTTCTGTTATTACCGGCATTCCATCTTCTAAAAAAAAACGAAATAAGCGATCAAGAAATAAGATGCAAAGCAGAAACTTTTACATGAAAAAAGTTAAATTCATTCCTGTAAAAGTAATAAATCTATGAATTATAATAAACTAAAAAATAATAAATTCAAAGTGAAGAATAAACACATTAAAGTTTATGTTGATGTGAGGTAGCAGTTGATAATGGAAGCAAATTTAAGATAATTTTCGAATCATGTCTCATTTAAAAATAAAAAAAAAAAATGAAAAAATGAAAAGGGAAAAGAACGAGAGAGGAACAATAGGTTAACCTCGAATGATATACATTTTATTTTTAATAAAATCCATAGGAAATTTTCATTTGTTTTGTTTCATTCAATGTAAAAGCGTTTTTCGTAAGTGAAGATTTAAGCATAAGTTTCTAATAAAAATTTTAATTTCCTCTTGTATTGAATGAGTTCCGAAAATATTTCCAATGAGTATGTATTTAGGCAGACAGGAAGTTAGAGATAAAATTGTTTTATTGCCTTTTTTAAATGATTTCTTTTTGTCCTGATAGACAAAATCTAATGCATAATCGTTTCAAGATGTAAACTTGAATACATTCACATTATTGTTCAACTAAACTAGTCTTCTCAGTAAGCAAGGTCATTGGTAATAATTATACGACTTGAAAGTACCTCTCTCTTTCTCTTTCTTTCTCTCTCCCTCTTCTTTTAAAGCTAGTAGTAAATTAATAGGCTAATTTATTTGAAAAGAATCGACAATTTTCGTAGACATAAGTTGCTAATTACAGCATACATCTATCTCAAGCTAGTACTTTGCTGCACCACTGACAATCTAATTAGTTAGCATTTAAAATTAATGATTAAACAGGTGATATCGTGATTATTATGTTTCGAGAAATTGTTGTTTACACATATCTAAGTTAAAACTAAAGTAAGTAGACGAATATTTAATATTCAGACATATTTGATGCTGGGTGATAATCCTAAATTTTAACTTTATCATTAATTTAAAAAAAAAAAAGAGCTATACTGAAATTCAGTCACGAAAGTATCATTTCGGTTCGGTAGCCTCTTCAAAGGATTTCAACATTCTTTGATTACATAATTTTTCCCACTCGTTTTTTAGTATTTAAAGTGTAAAAATAAAAATTATTCTGTTCAACTGCAGCAATTTCTTCTTTCAAGATTTTTCTTGTTTAAATGATATTATCAAATGAAATTTATTTCAAATCTTCAAAAGAATAGTTACAATGAGTCCTAAAAATATTTCGATTTATGCAACGGTATAAAGTTTAATCAGCTATGACAACAATTTTAGTGAAAATTTACTTCCACATAAAAGTGATTAAATTTTATAGAAAATCATTTAGTAAATTTAGTAACAATAATCAATGTGCACCAAATTATGTACACATCAAATTCTTTATGTATTGTAAACGTTTCAACATCATATATCAACTTTAATTAGCTTATTTAAACAAAAATTATTGATGACATAGTCTTCATTTCTTACCATTTCACCACATACTTCTATCATAATGACAAAACAGATTAAATAAACCGAATTTCTGACAATCTTGTCTTTATCGATTAAATAGCTGATGCTAATAAAAAGGAATTCTTTTTCTGGATTTTCAAAATTTCTCAGTGTAATTTAAAAATCTGATTAACAACAATTATATTTTAACAAAGACATTCTCAATATGTAAATAAATTGTTTTGCAAAATAAAATTAATACACATAGTAGAACAAGTCAGGCAGAGATATACGTACTGCAAAATATACTGAGTAAAACAATTCCTGATAATAATGCAGTAAACCAGTCCTTTAGTTCATTCATCTTACCTGCGTAACTAATTTTATCACAACATTACTAGCAGAAGGATGACAGAAAAAATTGTATCTTTCCCTTTGAAGTTTTATAATTTATCACCTCCTTCTGAATATCAATAATAATTAAAGAACTGAAACGAAGTGCTCTTTCCACTTCTACTTCATATTATATGTTGAAGTAAATTTCATTCTTGAACATTTTCACTGTTCAAGAGTGAAATTTCATAGCAGACAGTTATCAGCAACTTCATATTTGACATTTAAATTCGAGATTTCTTCATGTACAACCAAAGTAACTCACATTTTCTATCAATATCTTTAAAAAATAGTAGGAAAATCCGAAACAATTCAACTAAAATATCAAAAAATATTATAATACCTGATGAATTTATCGTAAATTGGGAAAAAATTCATTACTATTTACTATCATTGCTTTGATAATTTAATAAAAACGATGTAAATCAAAAGGACCTAACAGATCAATCTATCATCTAATTGAGAATAAATACTACGTAAGTTGTTCTTTTAAAAAAAATATAAAATTCGGCAAGATAACTTTATAGAGGTTAAACATCATTGATGGTGAAGCTAGATAAGAGATGAATGTGACCGATGATAATAAATCGATAAGCCTAATATAATAATAAGCTTATTCATTTTCTTTTTTAGCAATGTACACAATACTTTGGATCATTTCAACCAGATGTCCATGTTACATGTGTGTAGTATGAAAAGAAAGAATAGATGAAAAGACAAAGGAGTTGGCATAAATGTGCTAAACGAACAAAAAAAAAAAAAAGAAAAACTCAAAAATCCAAAAATTAACATTTAACTAACAATATTTTATTTAGTATAGTTTTATATTTGTTATCATCTTAGTGTTCAATTATTAGCAAGAACTTACTTATGTCATACCATTTACTTCCCCGAATTACCTCAATTGTACACTCTTACACTAATTTTCAATTTTACTTTAATGTGCCAATCAACAATCATCTTTGCTAATCAGTTTTATAAAGCAAATTCAGAAATGTATTTTTACACATATGTTTAATAGAATTATTAAAATTGTGTAAGTCAATAGAAGACCAGCAAATCGTCATATAAAACACAAAATAGCTAATAATATATATATATATACGAATTGTACATAATCATTGAAAAACCTATTTATTATGGATGTATTTAGCAGGAAGCAAAAAGCTTCTTTAGCCCTTTATTGCCTTTTATAAATTATAGATTTTATTTAGAAAGGATGGTGAAGAGGAAAGAAAGGCAAGAAGCAAATGTTCAAATCTTTTAATAATACCCTTTTATGTCGTAAAGCCTAAGTTAATTATCACTTAAAAAATAGCACAAATGATGAAGAACTAACCAGTCGTTTCATCGGCATTAGCAATTTCCATTGATAATAGCAGTGATAATAAAATGATAATTGAAGCAGCGAAATATTTCGAAGTGTTATAAACTGTTGTTGTATGACAAAACATATTTCGTTTAGAAAATTATCCTTTAGGGATGATAATTGTTCAATGCATTGTTGATGATGATGATGATAATAGAAATAAAAACTAAAGCCGTAAAAGATGGAAAAAAAGAAAGGCAATAATAAATTGTCGTGGATGTCCAGTTTAGTTGAACTCTTCTTCCAAATTATCACCAGCACAGCCACAGCTTGAACTTCTTGATCTACAGCTGTACCTGATATTATACAAAACACTCCACTATATCCAATAATAAGTTACACTGTGTACAATCAATCATTCATTCATCAAACTCTACCGAATTATCTCCCATCATTGCATGAAGTAACTAGTGCTGACCTTTCTGTCTCTCTTCCGAGACAGTAAACACAGATAAAGTTATTTGTAAAAGTAACAGTGAATCCTGACGTCCGGCTGCTGATAGTAGCAATACTACTAATAATAGTAATAATAATACAGAATGATTGCAAATGTGTAATATGATATCGTACTCTCTCTTAACAGTCAATATTGTGACCCTGTCGCAAGTAGCGACACCAATATACTCTCTTTTTGCTGACAATAATTGTTGATGGATTCACTAATACTTTATGCAATGTCACCTGAAATTCATCAAAATACATTCAGTATTAGACGTATTAACTACTTCACAATAGCATGTAATGATAGATGTGACACGACAAGGATATTTGCTTTCATCAGCTCCACAAATATACATTACATTAAAGTATAAATATAGATAAGTCAATTATTGTATGAGTAATTAATGGCAAAGAACAATCGGAAACTTCCGTGTCACCTAGATATCCAAACAGATAAAAAAAAATAATAACAGCGTTTAAAATGCCATGCAAAAATAATTTCTCACATTTATATTTCTTTTATAACTTTTATAACTTTTTTTTTTTTACTCCCGATTATCTCTCTAACTATAGAAGAATTTAGGTTATTTAGGTACCATAGTTTGCCTTCATTTCCGTCCTATATTGGAGCGAACTTTTCCTATATCACAATGAATTTATCTGAAATTTACACTAACCTATATGCAAGGTTTCATATTAAAAAAAAAAAATGACAGTATCAATATTTTAGAAAGGGAAGTGAGAGAGAGAGAGAGAGAGAGAGAGAGAGATGTGGATAGATGGGATGTTAAGACTTCTCTTTTTAGGTTTTCTTTCTCTTTCTTTTAATTAAACAATAGAATTAACAATTGAAGAATGGAAGTAAGAATATAAGGCTTAATGCCATTTCATTAAAATGGGAAAAAAAAGGAAACAGGCCAAGAATTGAGGAAGAAAGATCCGGTGAAGAGGATGTCGTATGACGGACGCTCCGGAGCATGCAGCACCTGTACAACACAACAATACATACATGAATCAGCTATCGGTAATATATTCTCGTTGTTGCTGTCATTGATGTTTAATCGGCAAGGTCAGAAAATGCAATTCACCAAAACCAACCCAACAAAAATATTCAAACTCAAAATTCAAACTCGTACAACGACTATTATTCTTCATTTCCCATAACTGATTTTATTGATTTATTCCATATTCATTATAGTTTTAAATTTAACAAAAGCATTGATTTTTCAAAATGAAAAAGAAGAAGAAAAGACATAAAGTTAATGGAAAACAGGAAAGATTAGAAATGTTGAAAAAAACTTTTTGTCATTATTTTTTTTTTTTTTTGGAAGCCATTAAACAGTCATCGTACTGTTACTAGAAACATTTTTATGCAAATTAAATAAATCGTTTACAATAACTACTCCGGTAATATGTAAATGTCACATATACACGTGAAATGCGAAACGTTAAAACGTCATTTTTCTTATCACAAAATAAAAGACAAAAAAAGAAAAAAAAAAGGGACGGAGGGAGAAGAAAAGAGAAAAGAAATAGTGAAAAATTATGAATAAATCGACGAAATTTCGTACTTTAATAGCAATCATTGATGTGGTCTATTGGTGAAATTCACTATCCCTGAAATTTAGATTACCAGGATTAAAATATCACATCGCCATAATCTAACTGCTTTATTTCGTGAATGGATGTTGATGGAATTTTGATCAAAAATCAAATTTTGTGAAACGTATGATAATGGGATTTGATTTCAGGAAGATATAAAAGGAAGAAAAAAAAAAAAGAAGTAACTAACTATCACTTACTACCATCAAATATAAACCATTCAATATGAACACATTAATAATGGTAATAGCATAAATTTGACACCTTAAATTACAAAATTTCGATTAAAACAATTCGTTTAGCAAAAAACAGGAAAATTAGCGAAATCAATAAGTAAATAAATAAATCAATAAATAAATAAAAGAATAGAATGGGCAAAGTGCGACAAATGGAGTTATTTGTGCATAGATGAAGAAGAAGAAGAAGAAGGCAAGAAGATGACGGTCACCTCATTGCTTCTTTTACCCTCTCTCTGAGAGAGAAAAAAAATAGGAAAAGAGTTAGAGAAATAAAAGAGGGAGGGATAAAATCCATCATTTTTCAATTCTCTTCAGCTAACCTACCTACCTTCTTATAAAGCATGTCATGTTTTTAAAGAATGCCATCGTTTTTTTTACAAAGCTTTTAGATATTTCCAAATTGCTAGCAAGCTGCATGCATTCATTTCTTACTTTCTATTAATGGAATGTATCATTTGATAAGTAAGCACGTTTATAGTTTAAAGTTTTGCAAGCAGTATGTGCGAGCATTGCATGTTATAAAATTCTAAAATGTTTAGGGTGAGTAATAGAGAAAGAAGAATATCTTGAGCTTACAGATGGAAGATTTGCGTAAATTACGTGAGTTATTACGTGAGTAAAAACATTGCGCTATAACTGAGTAAATATTATTTTCATTTCAAAAACATATTTTGCTAATGATAGATGAATTCGGAACAAATGAATGATGATCATATAGACTTATAATTAATGAACAACACTGTACAACTTTGTTGATATTTCTTTCTACCGACTTCTTCTTTCTTTTTAGATTTTAAATAATTTTAATAATCAAAATTGAACTTTAACCTTTGCCCTTATCTCACACATATAATGATTATAGTAATAAATAATTTTTATTAATGGTCCAATGAATTAGGTATACATAAAAAAAAAAAGTGTGTTTAGTGAAAGGTAGCAAGAACCATCTATCGTTGTCACACACACACAGTGAATGAGTTAATAATGGTCATATGGTGTCCACTATGCCTGTTATGCAATTAGTAATTGCTGAATGTAAATTGTGCACAAGAATTAATGGGATGGTCAGCTGACTTTCCAAATCAAATTATTATTATCTCTCTGATCACTAATGTTGAGCATTTTTCAAGAGGAATAAAGAAATTACTTTAAAACATACTAATTTAAATGAGTAAATTCATTTAAATTAAAATGCAAATGTTTTAGCAAAGAGGAAAATGAAAGCCGTATATATCTTCTTAAGCTGAAAGTGCACAAGCATTTCAATGAATTATTCACCAATACTTTAAGACAATTGATTAATGAGTTAAGTTATACTTCAAAAATGTATCATTTGAAATTATCCAATCTTTAATGTTATACTTTCTTATTTGAATGATAAAAAAGTAAAAATGATAGCATAGGAAAAGTTACTGTTTCTGTTTTGTTGCATTTGTATGAAAATATGTATGAAATATTTCTTGCTAAAGATTAGTGAATTTAATAAAATATAATAGATAAAAATACAATACAATATTGTTGATCAAATTACAATTAGGATTCTGTTTCACTACAGTATAAACATTTCAAACGAAAAAAAAAAATATGAGAACAGCAAGATCGATTTTTAGCAATTCCAGAGATATTTTCAGGATTTGCTGAGTAATCGATAAGATACAAAGTTTTAATGATTTTGACTAAATAGTTGAGCATCACTGAAAAAATGGGGAAAAAAAGTACAATAATACTTCTTAAAACTTTGTACCACTAACTTTGTCTCAAATTCGGGAATTTTGTTGAGCATAGATCAATTGATTAAGATATATAAATGGAGATGAGATTTTCTATTTGCAAAGGGTATGAATAAAAGGTATGAAACTGAAGCGAAAATGTAGGAAGAGGAAGAAGTTGAAGAGGAAATATTCCAGAACTGAAGAAACAGGTCGATGTGTTAACAGGGACTATTAGTAATATTAGTTGATGAAGCACGTCCTTTGGTACCCCTCCTCTCTTCTGCACCTTTCAATTAATTCATCCATTCATCTATCTATCCAAGTGAACAAATCAACTATCTTTTCTTCTCCCTCTCTTTCTCCTCCGTAATTTTGAGAAAATGCTTTGCTAGTCACTGCTATTCACTAAAATATTAAACTGTGAAGCCATGATTCATAGTGAGGTTGCACAGAGGCAATCATCTGTATTATTGGTATCCAATTAGCTTCATTTATTATTGTTATTATTATTATTATTATTATTATTATTATTATTATTATTATTATTATTATTATTATTATTATTATTATTATTAGGTTCTATTTATAAATAGATCTTGTCGTTTTTCTCGTTTTAGCAATCGGAAAACATTAAATTAGATGACTTCGTCAAATATGCCAGGATGAGATGAAAAATGAAAGAGATGATTTAAAATTGACATATTGGTCCAATTTCTGATATTTTTTCTTTTTCTCTTTTTTTTTTTTTTTTTTTGAAAGATGAAAATTATTAAAATAAATATTTTAATGTTTTGAACTATGTGTTTGCAGATTCTCTATTTGTATAAAGCTTTGCCCATAAAGGGACATTTTCATCCACAAATCCTGCATAAACTTTATCATTAATAAGTTATCATCAATTTTTTATTATTGCTACTTTTTTTTTTTACCCGATTCCAAAATCATTTAAAAATAACCAATAAAATATACATCCCTTTTTTTTTTTTTTTGCAGACAGTAAATATCGATAAAATGAATGGGTAGAATTACACATATCACTGCTAACGTATTTTAAACATATGCATCCAAGCACATTAAAACATTTCAGGCTATCCGGAAAAAGATACCATTATATCATGTCAGCTGTGGTCAATTGGAGACAACTGTTTGCTTTGTCAAATGATTACGATAGAATGACCATTAAGCAATGTAAAACATAGCCGCAATATAAGCGATCAAAAATATCATTTTCATTTGAAATGAAATTCAATTAGGATAATATCGACATTATCATACGGATCTCTAAGCGAACTCCAGTAACATAGATAGATAAGACATAAAAATAAATAATGCTTATTAATATTTAACGGAACAGAAATAATAGGAAATAATAAACAAAATTATGCATTATTGTTATTGTTTACATAATGCTTAAAAATTGAAAATATAATCCCAGTGATGGCAAAATGAAGAAGTATGTTTAGTTTAAAGGATAATAATAGAAGAAGCCATGTGGTGTGAAATGAACATCCCAAATTGCTTTTCGTCACAATTATTGATGATGCATAAATGAAGGTTAGACCCGAGATGTAAATTCTGCATAACAACAAATTAGCTCTACTCATGCTTCTATACTATATTTTCATCTAGTACCAGCAGTAATTATTATAGCAATAATAAATTGACCAACGATAAGAAGATAAAAGAAGCTATCTTTCAGCAATCATTCATTTCATTCTATATAATTTCAGTACCAGTATTAATTGATCGTTCATCACGAATTCATTCCAATTAAAAAGTATTATAACTTTTCACATTTGTTAATATATACTTTTTATTCCTAAACATCATCGATTTTATTTGAAAAACGAACGAATTAAAATTAAAATTTTTAATTTTGTTTAGACAATTACTTGGTTCTAAATTATTATTTATTGTGAAGCAGTAAAAGCTATAAAAAAAAAAGTCGTAATATTAGGAATGTAATATCTTCACTTATAAGAAATGAAGATAATTAACTGGAAAGTGAATTTCATTCAATGGGTGATATTAATTAGAATTTACGTATAGACACATAATGATAGAATGTCGTCTAAGAATAGTAATGCTAATATTCCTGCATTTAACAAAATCTAACTGCTTGATTAAAATCATTAACAATTTCTCTTGCAGATAGCAGTGTGAAATTTATTACTCAAAGGAATATTGTGCAAAAAAATTCAATAGTAACATTTCAAAAAGTTATCACAATTCTACAAATTTTATTTTATAAGAAATGTTTTTTCTTTATGTAAATTCTATGCTGATTAAAAAAACATATCCAAAATTTTATTTTACAAAAAAAAAAAACATGAAATTTAGAGAAGCGTAATTTTTGATTTGAAGTTTTCTTTTTTTAAACGACAGATTGCATAAAGCGAAGAAAAAAAGCCAACTGACATCAACCTATTAATTTGATTTCGGCATTTTCAAACATTTCAATTATTTGCAATAAATAAAAAGACTGCTAGTAGCTGATTATATTTTTTGGAAATTTTTCAAAAATGATTAAAATAGATAAAATGTATGTATATACAACTGAGCATTCTGACCTATCAACTAAATTCTCATTTCAAAAATATCAATTTTATTT